CATCCCCGCAGTCTCTCCGCTATCCGTTGCCGATAGCGCCAGTCGGCACCCATGGCGGACCGACTCCCTGCACCGCCATCGGCAGAAGTACGGGAGACAGAGAATACTATGAAAGCAACCCATTTCTCCCCACGATGGTGGAAGAGAAGGCTAGCCATCATCATGATTTTCTCCGGTAGCACTGCTTTGCTATTCTGGTACTTTGGCGCTTTCAGCCAGGCCAGGCCTTACCAGCCTGGTACACCCCAACGACCGGATCCTCCGAGTTATGAGACACCAGACGGTTCTCTTCTCGTCACCTTGCCGGAGTATGGATCTTTCCAGGGCACACAGCTTCTCATGAACTTGAAGAAGACGGAGACCCTCAGTCGACCAGTGGATGCGTGGATGAATGTTGAGTATTCTACGCAGCCTGTTGGTAACAGAAGGTTTATGCCAGTAACATGGCCCGAACCATTCGATGGCACAAAGGATGCGACTTCAATTGGACCGGCTTGCTTCCAGAACATGTACGGCTCCCTCGGACAGTCGGAAGCTTGCCTTACCATCAACGTATACCGACCCTCGGATATCCCAATGGACCAGAAGCTCCCGTCCATGGTCTTCTTGCACGGAGGCTCGTTTGTCTCGGGCTCTCACCGCAGCTTTGACGGTCCTCTATTTGTGGAGCAGAGCCAGTCGCCTCTCATGGTTGTCACCGTTCAGTACCGACTGGGTGCGCTCGGCAGCTTGCCAGCCAAGTTCATGCAAGAGGAGGGTCTTCTCAACCTGGGTATCCGCGACCAGAAGATGGCATTGGAGTTCTTGCAAAAATACATCGGCGACTTTGGAGGCGACAAAGACCAGATCACGCTCGCCGGTCAAAGTGCTGGCGGCCACTCAGTTGGTATCCACCTTTTCCACAACTACGCAGAGGATGCCGGAAAGCCTTTGTTCAGCAAGGCTATCCTGTCTTCGGGCTCGCCAACCGCTCGTGCCTTCCCAGGTGTTGACTACCCTCTCTACCAAAAGCAAGTCGCAGACATCATGGACTACCTGAACTGCCCAGAGTCGCCCAGCTCAGCTGCTCTGGACTGCCTTCGCGCCGCAGAAGCCGACGACATCCAATTCATGTCTTCTTCGCTATACAACGCCCACAACTACAACATCACGTGGCCATGGCAACCCGTCTCCCCCGGTCCCCTCCTCGAGAAGCGCGGTTCAACATCCGGCCAAGACGGCACATTCTTCAACATCCCAACACTCATCTCCTCCGTAACCGACGAAGGCACAGGCTTCGCGCCCCAAGACCTCCGCACCAACGCCGAGTTCCTCAACTTCTGGAAGACGCTCACTCCAGGACTAACACCGGAGGATCTCGCCGATCTCGAGACCTTGTACCCAGACATCAAGCCCCAGCAGGGCACACTAGGCTACGTCTCAGACCAATTCGCCCGCGTATCCGCAGCGTACGGCGACTACTCCTACATCTGCCCAGTCCAAGACACCGCCTCAGTCATGGCCTCGACCTCCGCGCCCGTCTACAAAGCGCGCTTCAACACACCAAACTGGGCGCCGACATACCTGGGTGTACCGCACGCGAGTGACTCCTCGTATTTCAACGGACAGGCAAACACACAATACCCTGAGATTGCAGACATGTACAGTGCCTACTGGGCCAGCTTCGTTGTCAGTGGCGACCCGAACACATACAGTTTGGGATACAGTCCCAAGTGGGAGCAGTATGAGGGTACCGGCGGTAGGCAGTTGGTGGTTAACCCTCCGACTGAGGGTGGCTCGATGATGGAGGATGAGGGTACGGCTATTAGGATGGAGCAGTGTGCTTGGTGGAGAGATCCGGAGAGGGCTAAGAGGCTTAACAAGTAGGGCTTGAGCTCTTTTCGAAATTGTTGATATGTATATATGACGATAATAAACTTTTGATGTGTTTGCAAGTGGCTTCGTTTTGTACACAGTAGCTTTGAGTGACAACGACTGTCTGAAGGATATTTGAACGTGCGCGGTTGATATGAGCGTATTTTCCATCGTCTGTTTTCCGCCTTTCATCCTCCCTGGTCTTCATGAACATGTGGGAGTAGACGATCTATTTGGTAGCAATAGGCTCCTCGTCAATGTCTATATCGCATTCGAAGATGGGCTTTGCCGTCGTAGTCGCAACATTGCTTCGAATAGCGCTTCTGGCTCGAGGTTGCGCTTTGCATTGTCGGACGATGGGGTACATGCACGCTCATCTTCACCGGTTGCTTCGCTCATGATGGCGGTTTGAGCGGCTGGGCTTCGGCTTCCTGCGCTTGCCTGAGCGGGTTTGTATGGGTTGTAGTTCTAGATGCCTTTGGTGTCGGATTGGTATAAGATCTGTGACGGTGGATGGTGGTAGAAAAGAGAGTGTGTAGTAAGAGAGACAGGTGGGTTATGCTGTTGTCGAAGATTGTATATGTGAGCTATGACGACGTAACAATGAACGCAGTCCAAAGAACAGCCATAAAGGCCATATCCCAAATAATTCATCTCTCCCCTCCTTCCTGTTCCTCCACCACCCTCTCTACTTGATCAACCTTCCAGCCCATAACCCCGTCTATCGTTTCCTCCTCCCCCAAACCTCCAAAAACGCCACCTTCTCCTCCACCCCCAACCCCACCCTCTTAACCCTCCCCAACCTCGCCAGATCCTCCGCAACCCGCTCAAGAACCTTTTGCTCGTCCTCACTCACAACACCATCGTCGCCATTGACCTGACCAGGAACATCCACATCCATGCCATCGCCCGCCTCGCCATGTTTGCCACTGAACCCATTCCTAAAGTCCGGTTGGTCAAAGATATTCGTATCATACCCCGATGCTTTTCCAGAGTTTCCTTTCGAACTCGATGTAGGACGAGAAGGCGCATCTGGGTTACCACTATTGTATACGCGCGACGCGATTCGGACGCGCATTTGGTGTGACGGCTTACTGAGGAGACCCCAGAACCAGGAGGGGTAGCCGCCTGGAACGGGGGTTGTGACGTCTTGAGGTGTGTAGCGGAGGTTGACGGGGTAGATCTTGGTCTTGCCGTCTGCGCTGAGTAGGCTGGGGCATAGGGGGAGGATGCCCCTGCCGTTTGTTGTGGTTGTTTCGGGGAAGACGCAGATTATCCTGCTGGGGTTCTCGGAGGTGAGTTGTTGGAGGGAGACGAGCTTTGAGGCGTCTGGTGGAGTGAGGGCGGGCGGAGAGAACGCGTGGAGGATTGCGCGGAAGAGGGTTATGCGTTCGACTTTTCGGTGGTGGGGGTATGAGCGCGTGAAGATGGGCTGGAAGATGCCGGCGAGGTAGAGCGGGTCGAGCGGGGATGTGAAGGACGATGCGATAATCGTGCCGGCTTTGGGGAGGTTGTCTTTCGCAGAATGTAGCTGTCTATGGGATGTGTTAGCAATTGTTCGTCGCATTGAGCCTCGAGACTTCATTCGCTGTGAATATTTGGACATACCCTCTCTTGACACCGTCAACCTGCAAGTCCACCCACCACACGCCAGGAATGCCCAGCATCAGCCACAGCACCCCATACTTCAATCTCCTCCCCACAGAAATCCATTCGAGAAGGCAGAAGTATAATAGCGAGAAGGCGACGAAGAAGGGTGCGCGCACGCAGAAGAGGAAGAAGTATAACGGTTGCCAGACGATGCCGACCGGTGGGGAAGGGACAGGGAGGAATGGCGCTATGGCCGTACCTGCAGATACACGGTTAGCTATTGACTTGCTTTTATGTCGCGAACTATAAGCAGCGAGTCAATTCCGTTGGCGGGGATGGACAACTGTGTGGGACTGGAGTGTGAGAGCCGGTGACACTCTGGCACAATCGCGGAGGGATTACGAAAAACGTACCTTTGTCGCGGAACTGACTGTATCTCTCCATGACGAGTGATGTCTAGCAGGGCAAGGTGCAGATGTGGGCGTGTTGTCACCGAGCCATGCAAGGCGAGGCCAATTTGCGGTCAACGCGAACAAATTGTGCCTTGGCAGGAATTGAGCGTGTTGACACAGCGAGGCTATTGCAACGGAGCAAAGAATTGAGGGGCAGTGCTGCAGGTAACGGCTGGATAAGCTTCTTACGTTGGAAGGGTCCAACGTGGCAAAGACGTAATGCGGGCTGTTTCTGGGGGCTTTTGGGTCACGCGAGTCATGTATTTTCGACATGTGAATGCCAAGCCCATCGTTCTGTTGGTTAGTGAACGTCATGGGCGCAGCTGACAGCGCAGACAGGAGGAAGAATTTCTGGTACGACACTTCTAGAGCATCTGGTGGGATTCTAGATTGTGGTCTGGCTGTCAGAGTAGTATTGACTATCTAGAAACTGGCTGGCTAGCACCCGACCGGTGCCTACAGGCGCTGTTCGCTCCTGCCAAACTGTGAAAAAACGCACCCGTGGACGTACATGAGGGAAGAGGGAAACCAAGTCAAACGACGAGCAACCACCAATACACGCTCCAGTCGTGGGATGAATAGACGATGCATGTCCCAGCCAGCAATGCAAACCAACAATAAAGCACACTGTACAAAGGAAATGGTATTGATAGTACTGCAACGCAACCCCGAAGGGTCCACGCGCCGCATATAGAAAGGGGGTATGTGCCAATATTACTGCTTATTTTCGCGGCTTCACCAGCCAAATCGACGCCATTCTGCGCCGGGGGTCCTCCTGTTTTGTTGCGTAAAAGAGGAATGTGACTCGTTGCAGCTCGGGCGCTGGTGGGGGTGGGTATCGAAGCACATTGCGCCGAAGCCATGCTCGCGGCGCGGAAAGTCAAACATGCAGTCTGAACCTGCAAGACGCTCCTCAACCACTAGTCTCGCATCTGCCCCCTCCAGACTGCCTCTCGATGCAGATTACAACTGATTACAAAGTACAAGTTGGAAGGCGCAAGAGCAGTGCTCCTGCAGCTTCGCCTCGAAGAAAAGTGATTATGTCGGCGCGGTGAAAAAGGGCATGCGCAAGTGTTCACTCATCACTGTCGTCTCAATTCATGCTTATAAAGCAACATCAAGCACCAGACTGACATCGCTGACCTGCTGGCCGGCAAGATCCTCAAGCACGGGTATCAGGTCGAGGAGCTCGTTGTCGTGTGCGTCAGAGAACCAGCTACTGATGGGGACGGCGTGTTGCGGGTGGAAGATGTACGACGTAGGCGAGTTGTCGATGATGATGGTATCTTTGAGGTCGCGACCGATCTGTGAAAGGTCCTGCAATAAATTAGCATTGAGCAAGCGGAGAAAGCAGTGGCAATCATACCTTGACGTAGTTGCCCTGGTGGTTGTAGCAACTTTCGCGGAACAGCCGGTGGTGAACAACGCCGTGGATGTCAAGTTGATCGAGAAGGGGGTCACCGTACTAGTATTGTCAGTATGAAGCATGTGTTTGCGAGTCCGTTCTGTGCTTACCTTTGAGACGGACGCGGTGAAGACGACAACCTCGTAGAGCTCGCCCACCCTCTTCATGAACTGGTCGACGCCTGGTCGCTTGATGACATAGACGTTGTGGTACTGGCCCTCAATCTCGACGGGGATGGTGAAGTCGGCTTGGTGCAGGATCTGGCACTCGTTAGCAAATCGAAGCAAAGAAAATGTACATGAAGCGTACTTTAAAGCTGCTGTGGACTAGAGTCTCATCCAGGTCGAGAACCAGGCACTTCTTTCCTTGGAATCTGGGTGCGATGGGTCCCAAAAGATACTTCTGTTGCTCCGCCGCCTCCGCAACGTCTGCAGTCTGGTGCTGAACAGCGACCTGTCTCTCGGCCAGTGGGGGTGGTGGAGGAAGGTCGACCTTGGGGTGCTCGGCCTCGGCCTCGGCGGTTGTCTCCTCGCCCTCTTGGTGAACATCGTTGGTCGATAGCGGCACATCTTTCATCTCAATGTCGTTATCGATCTGCTTCTGCTCCTCGGTCTGATCCTGTATTATGCGCTCTTGCTCTGCTGACGGCCGAGGAAGTACCGGAGTAGCGGTGGGCGTAGGGTTTGTGATGCTTATCTGGGGGTGACCAGTCTGCAGGGTGCCGGGCTGAGGCGGGGAAACTGTATCTGTTGGCTGCTTCTGGGATGGGCTTCTTGTCACGACCTGGGGTTGGTCTCCGACTGACGCCTGCTCGGTTGTGCCATCACCGTGGCTGGGCTTGTCGGCGAGACCTGAACCTAATGTGTCGGTTCCCGTCTTCTCATCAAGTGGGTCTTTCGAGTCAGTGTTGCTTGATTCCGCAACAGTGGGTTCCTGTTTCTTGATGGGTGTTGACTGAGATGTGCGTCCAGCGGGCACCTTTTGGGTCTGCTTAACGTTCTCCAAAGGCGTAGAGTCATCGGTTGTGCGAGACTCCTTGGGTGCAAAGCAGGGCAGACAGGACAATAGGCCGCCGGACTTCTTCGTCTTGCTTCGTGTCGATGCTGGGCGGTTGGCCGTGGCAGGCATTGGAGGCACTTGCTCGTTCTTCTCTCCGGGGGCAGCGCGCGGGTGGGAGCGCTTGCTGCTCGCGGTGCTTCCTGCGCGTCGCTTGCCCATGAAGCTTCGCTTGGAGTGCTTGGAGCCTCGCCCAATGCTCTCAGCGTCTGCAGCGGTTGCGCCGCTGAGGCCAGTGTTGGGAGTCTCGTTGGACTGCGAACCGGATCGCGGGACGTTCAAGAGGGAGCGCTTCTGGGTCGAGTCACCTTCAGTCGAGGGGCCTTGCGACGAAGATTGGCCTGGAGCGAAGGAGTTGGTGGCAATGGCGCTTTGCATGGCAGCTGCCGCGTGTTAGTAATCAGGATTCGAGGACGTCAATGTGGTGGTAAGCGACAAACATACCGGTGCCGTTGGCGTGCTCCGACGGCCCTACTGCTTTCTCGCTAGACAGGCGGGTTGCATCAGCAGAGAGCTGCGTGGGCTCGGTGCTCATGGCTGCGCGTCGAGTACGTCAGACAGGCAGCGCGCAGGTGTCGAGGGCGTGTAGTGATGGGCTCGGGGCGGGCCTGAGGGCTCCCTGGGTCGTCGCGTGGTGGAACTCGCTCGTGGGTGGGAGCGGTGGCTGGCAGACTGGCTGGCAATGGCGTGACCCGGTCGCGATTGCTCAGATTGATGCGCGAGATGGAAGGAGCGGTCGCCGGTTCTCGCAGCTGGGGCAGTCGCTATCGTCGAGGGAGTCCGAGGGAAGGAGCAAGGGCGACGGGGAGCGAAGCTTGGATGCGCTGCTTGGGATGAGGCTGGTTCGCTAACGCGGACGGAAATGAGACGCCGTCTTTCACCGTCATCAGCGCCAAAGCTCCACAACAACTGCCAGTTCACTGCAGCGGCACGGTTTTCTCACTCTGTCTTGACGCGACTGCGCCTATGTTTGCGATGCGGCTCTGCTGCTGCTCGATGGATACAATACGCTCACGGCGACAGTCGTCTTGAAAGCACTATTGGGGCTGTGCAAGACGGCACACCTGAACGTGACAGGGGCCCTCTTTATGGGGACCCCCCAATAACCACACCTCGCCCCTAGCTCCAATCGCCCTAGCAGCCAGCATGGCCAGGCCCATATACAATGCCTACACTCCACGCTGCACATCTCCAAGGGCGGACTATTCATCATTCATCTACCCAATCACGCCCTCGACCCCATCGCGAAGGAGGCGTGTCACACAGGGAAATGACAGCCAAGCATCTTGCTCCAGGGCACATTAGCCATAGGTGATAGCCCGCAGCCAACACCATTATCCTCGATTGCCTCTAGGCCCGAGACAAATACGCTTTGGAGCCCTGCATAATCTCGTCTTCGCGAACCTTCAAGAGCGACCCATTCCCAGGCCAGCCGACCGTTCGTGCGGCCGCAATTGCAGTTGACTCACGGTTAGGCGCCATCTTGCCATGGTACGGGGAAGCGACGTCGCGCCAACCTATCACAGCCCACATCAGCCGTAAGACCCGATGCGCTTCTGCCGCCAGATGCTGGTCCAATATTCCTGCACCGGCATTATCCTTCCAGCGACCTGCAGCACTTACCAGCCCGCTCTCAACACACTCGTCATGTTCCTCGTCGTCGCAGACAGTGCAGCGCTGGAGTCGTTGTCCTTGCTGTCACATGTCAGAGCCTGTCGTGTTCCACAGTGGCAAGCGCTGTGCAGGACGGCCCGTCGCCGTGCCGATCTTGCAGTTTCATGCGATGGGCATCCATGTCCGCAGAGGTCACGAGGTCACGAGGTCGACGTCAATGGTTTGCGCCTGCACGCTATCCGCCTTCCCCGCTGTAGTGGTGTGCAATATACCTCCTGCATCGACGCAAGAGGCTCCCCGCAATGCGCGCCCACGCCAAACGACGCGGGTGAGGCGATCTACCCTCACAGGATCCGGAGAATACGAGCGGACGATCAACCGACCGTTGGACGCTAATCTGTCTCTTGTACTTGAGACACGCCCCAGTCGCACAGCCAAGTGGCCAGAGGAGACGTTTTCGTCGCTGTACGACACTTCTCGAACTGCGTCCTAAACAGAACCGTTATTCCTGCCTTCTAGTATGACGCACAGGTTCAGCATGCGCATGACCGGCCAGTATGCCGTCGCAAACATGTCAGACTTGCCTATGTCGAAGGTCGACTTTGATTTCTTACAATTCTCCATTGTCATTCTCTCTGCTTCAGCTGCCTGAGATATCGATAGACGTTATCTCTGCCATTTGCTGCACGTTCTGTACTCTGGCTCGCCGTCGGTACTGGTGGTCATTCCGCTCGTCGCATCATTCCTCGGCTGTGCAGGACCTCTAGTATAACTCGCTCGTTGTTCGGTGTGGGACAGAACCGGATAGAGATGCATGCAACTTTGGTCGTGTGCATAGACTTCAGCACAGCTTCCCAGGAGCCCTATGTCGGTATCGGCATCCGATGATATATGCGTCTGGAATCGTTTCGCATGGTCGAACCCACGACTGTGAGCATGCTTTGGGCAGCTTCACATAGCGGACGCATCGACTCCATATAGCTTCCGCAGCAAACCAACTCAGTCTAGCGGTTTCCGAAAGAGGCTCTAGCGGCGGCTGCCAGCAACGCTATGCTTTCGCGCACCAATCACGACTACTTTGTTTTCTGTTTTAGCTATTTGGAAAGTCGATTGTCTCCATCTCAACCCAAAAGAGCTTCGGAGTTTTGGGGATCGGAGCCAAAACACCTGCCCATTGGTGTTTCGGAAGGAAAAGTGGGCATGGCGGCTGTTTCTGCATAGCGCACGTTGCTGATCTTGTGTTGCTTGTTCGGCTCAGCATCTCTAGTCCCAACTGCATAATCGTTACAAGATCTGGCATAAGCAATGGAGCATCTTGGCAAAGACAATGGGCGAGAGATCGGAGACCTCCTTTGATTGACTTTTGACAGGAATAGCTACACATGCATCTGGCGCAGAGGTCCCTTGACCAAGTGGAAAGACTGGTCCAAAGTATTGAACACACTATAGCCGATCAACACATTGTAATGTCTCTCTTTCGAATGCGCACAGCCTCGCTATCCGTATAGAGCTTCAATCGGATCGGACTTTCAGCCTCAAGCTTTCGGCGATCACGACGGCGAGGCGAAAAACGTGGAGTGTGGGTCGGGGCTCCGCATCTCACGTATGCGGCGCGGTAGTACAGTCTACGGGTCTTCTCGAGCGCAAAAGCAAGCACTACTGACGCCTCGAAGTCTGTACTCGCCCAACAGCCACACCGAAACAGCCGTCTTGCTTATGTCGACCAAAGTCAACTACGACTTGTGTCGTGAACTCACCCTGACAGTAACACGTCCGTGAGAATGTACTCCTAACGATGACACCCGGCGGGGAGACTAGACGGCAGGACAGTTTCGACATATATGCAGGGAAAAAGCAGAGCACGAGTGCTGCGAGGCAAGGTGTTTAAGATACATACGACAGCCATGCATTACTGAGATGGTTGATGCTGTGTGAGCTGAGCTGCCCAACTTCCACTCCTTTCCGTGATTGATTCACGTCGCCAGTTTTCTTCAACTATGGTGCTGGCTACTAATCTTCAACCGCTGGCTTATGCCGTGGCTTACGTTACCTTCTTTCTAGGCACCACCTCCACCTTTCTGAGGTTTTACAGTCGTTACGTCGATGAGAGTATGAGGAAATGGGGACGGGACGACTACTTCGCTGTGGTGGTTTTCATCTTCAGTGTCGCTCAGCAGGGCGTCTTGCATATGTTCCTCTACTGGGGATGCGGGCTGTAAGTACCGAATTGTTACCTTGCGTTGAGGAGACAAGACTAACCGTTGCGCGCAGACATATGGACGCTCTTAATACCTTTCAACAACTGGAAATTGTCAAGGTATGCACCAAAGCAAGACACATCCTAGCAAGGGCGTCTTTACTGACCAAACACCTCAGTGGCTTTTCATCGAGGAGATAGTCTACTACTCCGTACATTGGGTTATGAAATCCGCCTTTCTCTTCTTTTACCTCAAACTTGCGCGCGAGGCTCCCGAGTTCAGCTCTGCTGTCTACGCTGGCCTTGGTCTTAACACAATCGTATGGGGATGCAACATGTATGTCTTTATAATTCCTCACTCTCAATACCATAGAACTGATATCTGAGACTAGGCTTCTGGCTTGCATCCAATGCATGCCCTTTGACGAGATCCTACACCCTGGCACCCATCCCGACGCCTACTGCATGAACAAACTGATTGTCCTCCTGGTGCCATGTCTTCTGGTAAGCATAAACCATCGTCAATCTCCCCGCAGCCCACCCAACTAACCCCACCCCGCACAGAACATCGGCCTAGACATGTACATTCTCCTTCTCCCAATCGCTATGCTCTGGAACATCAGGCTTCCCTTTCGCAAGAAGCTCGCCGTCCTCAGCGTCCTCACCTTCGGCAGCATCTCCGTCGTCATCGCTACCTTCCGCCTCATCCCCCTCCTCGAACTCGGATCCCAATCCGACGAACCCATCGACACATCCTGGGTCCTCGGCAAAATGATCATAATCTCCGCTCTTGAAACGCAATTCGCCATCGTCGCCGTCAACCTCCCCAATCTCAAGAGACTCTGCACCAACTTCCCCGGCTCAGATAGCTTGGTCGAAGATCCGCATATTATTTGGGGGAAGGCGAAGAAGTTGACAAGTCAATGCAGCGACGACTCTGATGACGACGAATTCTACGTCTCCGGTGGAAACGGACGCGGATACCACTGGCGCAAAAGCAAGGCTAGTTCGCAGACCAGTTTCAGGGATAGCATCGCACCCAGTTTCTGTACGGATGAGGAGTCTCTCCAAGCGAGCGTTGCTGTTGCGCTTCCGGTGCTGTGGGTCAAGAGTAATGTTCAGACGGTGAGAGTGGGTAGGGGCCATGTGAGCAGAGGGCATGTAGTACGCAGTTTGGTTAGATGCAGTATGGAGAGGGTGGAGGATTGTTTCCCCCGAGGACACTTTTTGAGGACGTATGGTAGGCCCGAGTCGAGGCGGCCGGAGAGTAGATTGCCGACTTGTATGGAAATATGATGTTTTGTTATGATTGGATGGGAATGATGTTGTTTACTAGAGATTTTATGCTGTAGACGATGGCATTGGAGTGGGTTACCTTCGCAGTATCATATATGGGATCTTGATATGAAGTATACCGGGTATCGGTACCACATCGAGAGAATATAGGACTTTTACTACTTTCTCTACTTCTCTTATCTGCTCCCACCCTCGCACTTCTATCACTACACGTATAATGAACTCCCTCATTCTCCCATCCAAACTACATCCAGAACTCGTGGCCTAGTGGTAAGGCGCTCGCATCCTATCTGGGGTTCAGCACAGCAAGGTGCACCTTGACTGAGGCGGATCTGACGGGCAATTGCTCGTTGGACTGTCGTTTGCTAGGTGGATGAGAGACACATTCGGGCTTTGCTTGATGTCGTCGAGGTTGGGGTTGGAGGTTTTGCGAGAGACGTCTGTTCGAATCAGACCGAGTTCAAATCTTTTTGCTGATGTTGAGGAGTTGGGGATATGGCGAGATTGTAGGCGAGAGGGAAGTAGTGGGGCTGTGCGGGTGTAGGTGAGATTGGCATGATGTTATGAACAGGATGAGAAGGAATTATTAGACGCGTCGTTAGGAAGAGGGATGCTTGTATGCACCTTAGCTGCATTAAATTAATTTTAGTCCTCCTCGTGTCTTAAGCCGCTAGTTCCCTAACCGTCTTCTCACACAACTTCTTGATACCTATCTCAACGAGCCTCCTACTTCCTAACAGGCTGCTTCTTAGGTGAAACACACCGTGACCCGACTGGATCGAGATGACTGACCGCGCCCCTTCTACCCTGACTGCAGGTGGAACTGGAAGCTTGCTGAGGACTCAGCTCCGCTACTTGCTGACCCGAGCTATCGCTAGAAGTTTCTTGAGAAAAGCCGAACTCGAAATCATCCGGGAGCTGCTGTGCATCATCGTCGTATTGGTTGACGCTTTCAGGAAGCAAAGGCTGTGGCCCCGAGCGAGGAGGTTCGAGAGGCGAGACTGGTGACCATGGATCGATTTGTTGTGGCGATGTTGGCCAATCAAAGTTACTGGCTGATGGCAGTGGTGGGAGTGGCATGGGCTCGTTATCAGGTGAGGGTTTCATTAAGTCTCGCGCGAGAACGAGCGCTTCAAAGAGCCAGAGAGCCCTGTAAGATGTCAGCGCAGCAACATATGCGTGGAAAGCTGTACTTACCACTCGATAGTCCCCATGACAAGTTTCGCCACCCATAGTTTGAACAGATACTCTTTGTCGGCGCGCCGGTACCAACCCAGGAAGCACATGAGAACAAGGTCGACTACCCAGAGTACGCCCATCAAGACGTGAGTTGCAAGATCGATCTTTATGTTGTATATGCTCGGATACGCGAATCGGAATATGATGGAGCCGATGCAGACTGTTATTGTGAAGATGGCCTGGTAGCAGGGTCAGCTTTGTATGTGGGACTAAACTCTGAGACATACCAAGCCAATCGAGAAGAACAAGACGTTTTCAGGAAGGGACGGGTACAGCCAGGCGCTGAGACAGAGAATAGCGATCGCAAACGGGATCCGCGCTGTGTGCAGAACAATTGACTCTGTCCATCCCGACGGAGGTCCCAGCTGGAAGTATGCTAGTATATTGCTCATACTGGTCGAAGGGACGAGAAAAGTTGGTGATGAAGTTTGAAGGAGACGCGTGTTAACCAGAATGCGATAATACTGTCGTGAAAGATAGAGATGATAACGGTGAGTATAGCATTTTTGTACCAAACACTGTCACGGCTGCCAGACAAGACTCACATTTGTCTCAGACACTTCGAATACATGCCCCTAAGCTCCGCCGATCTAATTTCCTATCTTGCCGTCAAAGACAGCTGTGTTGAGACACCAGAGACACGGAGCTTCCACAACCCGATCTACATGAGCTCGAAACGTTGCATAACTTTTGCTCGTTGTAGTCGAAATCCTGCCCGTGTATGCGTCTCTTCTTGAGGCATCATTCAAGACCAGATCCTGTACTTTAGAATGTTGGACGTCGGCTTCGGTTGTGCGCCTGCCGTACGTGGAAATCTATCTCTAAATAGCGTTCCATGCCATTAATTCGGCCCCGAAGGTCAGCAGCAAGAGCCGAAAGATGTTCCATTTCTTCCTGTATTTGCCAACATTGATGCAGCAAGCCCAAGAAGACTGCGATAAGGCCAACGTATAGGATGAGGACAGATACGAAGAAACAGAAGAATATGACTGCTGCCAGGAAAGCGATGAGCACTTCCGCGTCGATCTTGACTAAGTTACGCAGCATTGGTAGTCGGTTTGTAGGAACTAAGGGCTCTCCGTTGGGTTCTGTCGTAAGTCTCGATCGGAGATTAAACGGGGGAGATGATGTGTAGCGAGAAATCTGTATCAATAACACCCAGAGTCATATATATTCAGTCCTTTGTTTGCTGCAAAACAAGCACGCGCAAGTGCAAGTGCAGTCAACACCTGTTGCACGGGGAATGCCATAGAATAGCCTTCAACGGCGTGACAACTGTGATTGCGATCTCCTTTGAGACGCGTCGCGAACGCCGTGGATGCCAAGCTGTGATGACTCGCGTTTGGAAGAACAGGCGGGCGTCGCAATCTAGAACTGCTTGAATGTGGTGGCATGTCATAGTAGAATGAGGAGGAAAGAATGTGCTATCGTTTCACTCAACTTCCCTAGATGTGCCCCCTCTATTGCGCCACGCGCTAGTGGCGCATCTAGCTCCCGCACAGACTCCTCCACCTCCTTTCCCGGACTGGTGTCTTCGGATCTGTTCTTCCCATCACCAAAAGGACGCGCCGCGTACTAGTGACGAGGCTTCAACAACAAATCTTATCCAAACAACCGTCTGGTCAACGTCAAAGTCAAAGTGCAAGTCGTGCCGCGGCGGACGCGCCGCCCCACGCTTCCCGTCCTTGGCCTGACCAATGGCATCGCAGAACGGCCTCCCTAAGGTGACAAGCTCAACCACAAGCAAGCATGTGGATATAGACGCGTCCCAATGGTTTCATCGTCCTGGGTATTCACAGAGAACTACGGGATGGGCGGTAGGTAGCGTGGCTGCTTAGTCCTCCGCATTAGGAAGTCCAGACTTGGATCTCGTGTGATGAAGCAAACGATGGCGTCCGCGGTACACTACGAACTATGAGGGGTGAGTCGGTTGTGTCGTTCCTATATGTAGGTAGAATTTCGCTTGATTGAGATTGTTGCGAGACGGTTCTGCGGTTCTCCTCCCAAGTCACTCTTTTCCAACAGTCACTCGTTTTCAACATGCTTACTTTCTCTTCTTTCTTTGTTGCTGTGCTGCTAGGCGCCATCACTAGCAATGCTGCGCCACTCGTTCAGGAGCGAGGTACGTTGATACGACATGTCTGTTGCTGCGTAACTGACGAGTGACAGGTATCGCTCCGAACCTTCTGGGCAACTTCAAGCTGATGGAACAATATGCCTCGGCGGCGTATTGCTCAAATAACTATGACTCTACTGGAGATCAGATTGAGTGCTCTACTGGCAACTGCCCGCTCGTTCAAGATGCAGACTCTACCACTGTCATCGAGTACAGCCGGTAAGTCTAATCCCAGCCCCTACAGACGTTAAGTTTCAACGGGTGTGACATGGCCACGAGCGATCTAGATGCTAACAATATACAGAGAGGATGCGATGACCGACGTAACGGGCTTTGTCGCAGTCGATCATACGAACAAACTCGTAGTAGTCTCCTTCCGTGGAACTCACACCATCGAAGACTGGCGTACGAACCTTGACTTCGGCACCACCACAACAGACATCTGCCCGGGCTGCACCGCTCACCGCGGATTCTGGCAATCCTGGGTTGATGCACGCGACAGTGTCTTGCCCGCCGTGCAACAAGCAACAACCGCCTTCCCCAGCTACAGGATCACCGTAACAGGCCACAGTCTGGGAGGCGCCGTCGCTACACTCGCCGCCGCCAGTATGCGCACTTCCGGCTACAATGTCGCACTATACAACTTCGGATCGCCAAGGATAGGAGGAAGTAAAATCAGCTCCTACATCAGCAACCAGCGTGGTGGCAACTTCCGCGTCACGCACTGGAACGATCCCGTTCCTAAACTACCGTTATTGACCATGGGGTACGTTCACATCAGCCCTGAGTACTACATCAACAAGCCGAGTAGACAGCCGGTATCGGCTGGCGACATTCAGACTTTTGCTGGTGCTGCCAATCTTTTCCAGGGAAACCAGGCCTGGTTAATCATGGATGTCGAAGCCCATCGGTGGTATTTCGATATGGTGTATACCTGCGGAGCGAAGAAGTCGAAGCGTGGAGTCTTGGAGATGAGAGGCGTCGAGGGAGATATGGAGGTTGTGACTACGTTCTGATACCCCGGATACGTGCAACTGTCGTCTTTCGCGTCCGGTGTAATGTAGATTATGCTTAATGTTCAATTCCTGTCCACCCACCCCTTCCCACAAAGCCTTCAAGTCCTTCATCGCTTTCCACATCTCTTGCTAACCGTCCTGTGATGATGCTTTGCTCGTGGTCCCGACCGCGTACGAAGAATGAACTGAAGCCTCCGCTCCATGTTCCCCTTCCATCCCCGAAGGCGTCTAACCGAAAACCGCTGTTCTGCCGATCGAGTTGGAGAAACCAGCGCCGTTGATGTACTGATCCGATATCGTTCGTAGAGCCGGGATATGCATTCGTGGCGCGTGTTTGATCATCCTCTTCTGTGTCGGTGTCGAGATCTTGATCCGCTGCTTCCTCATGTACCAATGTGTCCGCGATACTAGCTTCGTCATCTGAGGTCGCAGGGGTTCGTGACGCCGAGCTACGCTTAGATCTTCGCCGCCGTCCGTTTCGTCTCGCTGTCGGCTTTCTGATTATTTCATTCGATGGCAGGCGCAATATGACTGTGTAATTGTGTGGTAGTCGTGTACCGTGTAGACGTAGGCGGATGTATCGAGTCTTAAAAGCTGCTATCAGCTTTGAGTTCTCCTGACACTCTCCGCCTGCAACCTCACTTCCCTCATTTGCCGCTCCATCGTCTTCTGTCTCGTCGTCATCTGTAGTCTGCGGACTTGGCATCCCGCTATTTCTCTTGGTTCTAGGTAGGATACTATATGTTCCAGTATCCCAAATTATCAAGCTTCCAGTCTTCCTGCTGGCACTCTCGATCAAATGATTCCAGTAGTTGTGTACTCTAGTCTCGATCGCCATGCGACCTATGCTTCTCGAGTTGGGATCACCGGGGAGTCCTTTCGGAAGGGCGAAGGACATCGAGCTCGTTTCTGAGAATTGAAGACGGAGGTCATAATGTACACCCGCAATCGGGTGATTGTGTTGATGAACAACAAAGTGGTGACCATAAGGGTTGGCGTTGGACTGGTAGAGGGCGGCAAAAGCATCGATTGAGAGTTTTGGTACGTCAAGTGGTATGTTCCTAGAGCTTTTCACCAGGTGGCTCCTGAAGTAAGTAAGGTGATCGTCAATCCTGACCTTGCCGGCTTCTACTGCTGCTAGCGCGGGCAAAGCCTTCGGGACAGCTGGTGTTGCATCTGAGTGCACAGCTGCTTTTGAATTTGAGCTCCTGACATCTGCCGCAGACGTTCTACGTCGCTTTGAAGGCCGCGGTGGCGATATGTCGCGTGCGAGACTTGCTGGTAAGCCCATTGCGAGCCTGGTGCAGTTGACAGCTCGCTGTCACCTATGATCGGGCTGGGGAAAAGCACGAATTCCACACGTTCATTCTTCGCCAGGTTATACTCCTCAACATGGTAGTCAAGGAGGTTGGCGTTCGTTATGTGAGTGAGATGCGCGTTCTAATCGCGAAACGCCGCGACGAAGCAATGACGTCATTTACCCGCGACATCCAACGTTGAACACCACGAGCATTCCGAAGTGATGTTAAGAATCGTACGCGCAATCGAAGAGGCAGACGTCGGGATGCCAAAAACGAAAGATCCGGATCGTGACGAGAAGCATACACGCGTGTGCGAGGTGTGGGGTCCCCGCAACAGCCGAGGCCTGTCATTGGCTGTCGGCAAACTTCCTGCTTCCTGCTCGGCAGACCTGCCCAAACAAGGACCACATCTCAACGTCAACGCGCGAACAGAGGCACGAAGAGGTTAGACGGCACCCATACTCCGGACATGATGAGGTTGAACGGGAGACGCAGGCTCCACCGTTGGATATCTGGTCGTTCTGGGGTGTGGATCAGTGGATCAGCGGAGGGGATGGCGTAAAGTCGAAGGTATAAGTATCCCTATTGCTCTATCCGATGCTGGTCGCGACTCTGGACTCTGCCATCCTCCCCTAATTATACCCTGTTACATCTTCGAGTTTCTTGAAGCTTCTTTACGATGTCTTTTGATACGGAAGTTCTCATCATAGGTGCGGGCATGAGCGGCCTGGGCCTCGCCGTTCAAATCATCCGCAAGTACGGCCTTCGTAACTTCGAGCTCATTGAGAAGAGTGAAGATGTCGGTGGTACCTGGTTGGCCAATACATATCCAGGCTGTGGATGCGATGTAAGTTGTTCTGAGTCCAAACAGCTATCGGTGCCGAAAAATATGCTAAGCTGACTAGGTCGCCTCACACTTCTACTCCTACAGTTTCGCGCTGAACCCAGATTGGTCCAGAAAATACTCCATGCGTCCGGAAATCCAGGCCTACTTCCGCTCTGTGGCCGAGCAGTACAAGATCATGGATCACGTCCGTTTTCATTCCATAGTGGAGAAAGCAGCTTGGAACGATCTCGACAACGTCTGGGAGGTATCTATCTTGAACCTTCAAACCAAAGAACGGACCACGCGTCGAGCGAAGATACTTGTCTCGGGTGTGGGCTCACTCTCAGTGCCTAAGCAGTGCGATCTGCCCGGAGTAGAGACGTACCAGGGCAAACTGTTTCATTCTGCGCAATGGGACCACAGTTTCGATTGGAAGGACAAAGATGTCGTCGTACTTGGTATGTCTATACATATCGGTTCGTCAGTTGTGTGCTTACAAAGCCCCAGGCAATGGCTGCTCGGCCACTCAATTTGTTCCTATCATGGCTAACGAGCCCAACCCTGTGCGCAAACTCACACAGTTCGGACGACAAGCGCAATACCTTGCAGAGCGCCAGAACCCATACTATTCGAATACCTTCAAAGCCGTGATGCGCTACGTACCACTAGCAATGCGCCTCTACCGTGCGAAATTCTACTACGACATGGAGCGCGACTGGAGTGGTTTTGACATTGAGACCGGGCGCAGCATCCGCCAAAACCTGGCCAAGGAGAATGAAGCATACGTGAAGAGCATGGCGCCACCCAAGTATTGGGACGCGCTCATTCCAAAGACCGAAATTGGGTGCAAGCGGAAAGTATTGGACACAGACTATCTGAAGACCTTATGGCGAGACAATATTGAGCTGGTTGCCAACGAGCCAGTAGAAAGAATCACTGATGATGGCGTGGTAACAAAGAGCGGTCGCGAGGTGAAGGCGGATGCCATCGTGCTTGCGACCGGCTTCGCGACCCAGCAGATGCTTTGTCCGATGGAGATAGCAGGGCGCGACGGACTGCGCTTGAACGAATACGTGAGTTTACCACTAACCGCCGCAAGAAAAATTTATACTGATGCATATCGCAGTGGGATAAGACTTCACAAGGCGTCGCGCAAGCTTACTTCGGTACGGTGGTCCCACAGTTCCCGAACTTCTTCATCCTCATGGGTCCAAATACCGTCACCGGCCATCTCAGCGTCATCTACACTGTCGAATGCCAGATCAACTTCACTCTCCGGCTGCTAGAGCCCATCTTCAAGTCACTGCCATCATATCGATCGCAATCGTTCATTCCTCAAATGCTTTCACCACCACCGGCGACCGTAGAGGTCAAGCCGGAGGCTGCGGTCGCAGACTCGCAATGGACACAAAAAGCAGCAAGCAAGCTGGTCTGGAACTCAGGTTGCGTCAATTGGGCTGTAGACCCGAAGACAGGTCTAAATAATAGTAAGTGGCGAGGGTGGACGCTGGTGTGAGTCCGTGCGCTAACTCTGTCAGTGATGTACCCTGACTGGCAATCCCTCTATTGGCTCAGGAGCATCTTTTGGAAGAAGGGTGACTTTGTCTATCGGAACGAAAAGACTGGCGAGGAATTTCGACCGGGTACTACCAAGACTATCCTCTGGCTGGCTACTGCAGGAGCACTTGCTGGCAGCGCCTTCTTCGGACGGGATTGGATCCAAGATGAACTGCCTCGCCGGCTAAGGGATTTCGATGCGAGGGGGTTGGTACGGAGCCTGAGCGCCTAAAAAATGACCAGATGAGGGGATGAGTCAGCACATGCCTCGATGGGACGTCAGTATCGTCATTGAGGTCACCCACACCTTCAGGCAACAATATCGTCCGGCCAAGGCAAGTAGGATGTTCACGAGACGGAATATATAATTCGACTCTACCAATGGTACAGTATTGTGCGATTCGTCCTTCGCTGCGGAGCGTTTGGCCGCTATCAATGACGTCGCGCGCACAGAATGGTCGTCTCTCCAGCAACGAGCAACACTGCACCCGCGATCTCGCGACCGCATTCTGCAAGGCCTCCTCCAAGTTGCCTGAATAAGCTCAAGTCTATTGTTCAGCTTTCCTGCAAGAACAATACCAGCCAAGTGAGGGGGACGGGATATCTGATTTCGGGTGTCCCTTCACCTTCACTTTACAAAATCGTCTCCCAGCCCCCTCAATTCCAGCTTTTCAAGCCCACAACCTTTTCGCTAATATTGATCGCACGCTGAGTATACTTTGTACTGCAAACTCCTCAGCTCTTTACACAATCATCCATTTCCCTCTCGTCCCCAACAAGCTCACCTTGATCGTCTCATACCTTCTTACCTTACTTTCCACAACCCAAGATACCTCCTGAGATGTCTTCAAAGACTCTCCTCCCAAAATTTGCAGTGGCAGTCAGCCAGATGGCTGTCGAAGCTGCAACCACAGCCTACCCGACCGACTACATCGTCGAGCACATCCTCAAGCTCAGCAACTACCTCATCAACCTTGCGGGCACCTGCAACCTCTTCGGCAAGCCCGACCTCGACATCTACAGCCCCAGTCTCAACACTCTGTTCGACCGCCTGCAGAAGAAGCAGGTCGGCCCAAGCCTGTTGCCTCACGGCTTTCTCACCCCCGAACGCATTCACGGACGCATCTACGAACGTGCCGATGAAGAGGCGACTGACCGCCCTCTCGCCGACTACGAGGACATATACTATGCGCTTGTCGCACGCATGCAGGAGATGCATCAGCTGCTGAACCTCCGCATCAACAGCGGCTTCAACGTTGCGACTGAGGACATCTCTGAAGGCGGCCCCAGCATCGCCGAGCTCCACAACAGTCTGTCTGAGTACTGGAACGTCCTCAACAACCCATCCTGCGGCAAAGCGCTCGACGATGCAGTCCGCGAGGCGAGGCTTGAATCACTCCGTCACGAACTGGTCCACCAAGTCCAGCAAAAGAACATGAAAGCAGAGGAAGCGCACGAGCAGTTATCGCAGCTCTACAGCTCCGACGTCTACAACGGTATCCTCGGGCTCAACTTTGTCCAGGACTGGGCGCCGGCCATGATCGGTGCGTACCTGGAGTCAAAGTACCGGCGCATGCTCGACTTGGAGAAGGAAGAAGCCGTCGTCAAGGCCAGGCTGTCGCGCCGCCAAGCAAAGATGAAGACGTTGCGCGAGGCTCTTGTGGCAAAGTCAGCGGAAGAGAAGCTCATTGCTCGCCGCCATGCTCGCAACAATGCGCGCAGGGCCGCTCCCGTATGCGACGTCGACTACGAAGTCAGCCGCCCCACCAACGACACGCCGCCCGCCGTCGGATCCGCAGACGCCAACGAGACCTCCGGCGCCGAGCCCAACACCACCACCAACAACACATACCAGATCACAGGCAAACCATCAATGCAGCACTCCCCCGAACACCACGCCCAGCTCCACCACCCGGGTCACCACTACGAAGAGCACACAGCCGCCTACTACAACCAGCCCATTGAGGATATCATTGCTCACCAGGAGATGCTCAAGGCAGCCGCTCAGTGGCAGATCAAAGAACAACGCGTGTCAGAGTACAGCGAGTACCTGCGCGCTCGCGCTAGTCAGGGGGCTCAGAGTATGGTTGGGGCTAGTCAGGGCTCGAGTTCTTTCGGTGCGCCTCCGACTGGCTGGGTGAGGGGGCCTTTTCATCACCCGGATATGGATTATAGTCAGTATGAGAAGTTTTGAGGGGATGACGTGGTTGGATTGGTGGGTTGGTGGTTAGGATACATGGATTGATGAAGCTGGTGATGAATGGGTAGGGCAGTGGATACTTGAATAGATGGATCGATCAGTGAAGGCTATACCCAAGTGGTGCCACCCGAGAGATTATGCGTATATAGATAAACTGTGGCAGCTGGAACGGTTGATCTTCGACACTCACGTCGTTGCGGTTCCTTGCTTGCTTATACAAACAATCGAAATACTTTACTGGTAAAGCTCCACCTTGACTGCGTATTCTCAGAAGATATAGTCCGGATCCACCTCGATGATCATGTTCTCGCCGTAACCACCCGGTCTCGGTGCTGTGAAGTCTTTGATATGCCACGTTTCCGCGTTAAGCCGCTCAAACTCTCCAGATCGTTGTTCTTGACAGTCGTAGAGGTTGAGAGACTGCTTTGGTGTTAGCCATACAAGTAAACTCCATCAACAAAACACACGAAACAACGTACCTCCAACCCATCCAACCCCCCCACAACCTCCCTCGCCTCATCCCCAAGCAACTCCCCACACTCCGCCACCTCCAACACCCTCAACCTCCCCCTGCCCTCCCACTCTCCCAGAGCCGCCCACATCTCCCTCCCCAAATACCTCCCCCTCCTCAACCCCAGCTCCTCACACCCCCTCATCTCTCCCAACAGCACAGCCAACTGCTCAGCCCTAACATCACAATTTTCCAGTTTCAAACTGACGACTCGCCGACTCCACGCCCCCGCACTCTCAGCAAGCACATCCCAAGCCTTACCCTGCTCTTCCCGTTCGACAGCGATACGCGACCGCGGGATACCACGGACGTACCTGGCGCCGCTTTCGATTCTAAGGCTGAAGGTAAGGAGGGCGCGGAGCGTGGTTAGCGCTTTTGCCATGGGGAGGGTTAGGGACCAGATGCTGATGTTGAGGTGCTGCAGCATCGTGCCGTGGCGGTTTAGTATGCTTGTTACGAGCAAGCTTTGGAAGGTGTGCAACGTCAAATACTCGTAGGTTTTTGCCTGGGGGATGCGCAGCCAGATTTCGTAGGGGTCGGATGTGTTGTTATTGGTACTGGTGATGGACGGGTCGAGGTACTTGAAGAAAGCGGGAGCAAGAGGCGCGATTCCCAAAGAGAGGGTGTGCAGATTGGCGTTTGCGAGGATGCGGGCGTGACGGGAGGTTTCTAAGAAAGAGAGTAGGGAGCGTGTGGGTAGGGGGGTGAGTATGTGGTTTAGGATTTCGGTGGGGAGGTCGAGGAGGTGGGGGGTTGACATTTTTGGAGTTGTTTTGTCTGGGGCGATGGAAGAGAGGTGAGGTAAAGTAAGGTCGACTGATTGAAGCTGAGGGGAACAGTGCAATCCTTCAAGTCCAAGGCTGGGGAATATAGATAGATTTTAGTAGTAGGCAGACATCTCGGTGCCATTGCTGTCAGCAGCGAAACTCTAAACCATATATACTTCCACGTCACGCATGTCTTACACAAGCGGCATCTTCCTTCTTCCTTCCCTACCTTCCTTCCTGCCCATCATCATCACAGCGCTTATTCTTTCTCGCCGAATGGTCCCGTCACCTTGTTTGAAGCAAACGGTTCAACCCCGGGAGGCCGCGTCGTGGCGTCTCGCACATCGATTGGACAAAGGCAACTGTGCCGCATGCTGCTGTGTAAGGCGCCCCCAAAAACCACCCTGATGGAATGCGCGTCGGTTACCTGGGTAGGTAAGGGTAGCCCATTTAGAACGTCGTCCATCTTTCTAGTTATAGACATCGTGCAGTCCGAAGGATCAAGTTGCATATTTGTATATAGCCGCATGCGCTCCAGGACTATTGTTGGCGTTGAACTGGGGAATTCGTATCGAGTTTGTCGTTCGTTCATCCCCGTCACAAGACTGTGAAAGCACGGTCATTGCGGGCGGCGTAGTTGTATCACTGCAGCAGGATGATAATAGCGGTGTTGTATTGATTGCATGGCAGCGCAAAGTTCGGAGTCGCCGGTGCATCGTTGGTCAGTGGTCAGTCGCTCGCCGAAGATCGCGCGCGGAGGATTCGTGTGCCCAGGTAGGAGGATTCGGGGCCGGGGGTGCGGCGGGTGATATCAGGAGCCGCGTTCCGGATTCGTTGGTCGCTGCATGCGAACATGCACGAGATGCGGCGTTCTGCGAGGTTCGCGTAATTCTAGTCCGTGGAGTGTCGATGCAGAGCAGGGCAACAAACCGCGGCCAGGTAGCTCTATGTAGGCTCGCGTAGTTCTGTTGCAGTAACGTAGGAGTTAGCTTGGGGTATTCGACAGCTGCAGTAACGAGGGTTATTTGAAATATTCGACAGCTGATGATAAGAATTGATCATGTGTTGGTCTTTTCCATTGCGTGGCTTGGAGCTTGCTATGTAGCCGAGACGACTATATATACACCTTCCCTTCCTGCGCATTGCATCCGCGGAGAGAGGCGATGATCCTGCAGCGTCAACGGGAGACGCATCTTCAGGATTTACTCGTCAAGCTCAACCTGCAGACCTCAGCCCTCACCCCCAGCACCCCTCTCAAACACCCTAACACTCCCATCACTCTTAACCTGATACAAGAACTCCTTCCCTCTCCCCCCATCCCCCTCCTTATCCCCCTCAACACCAAAGCCAACATCAAACCATTGTTTCCTCTGCTCAGTGATGCGTATTACGCCGCTTACATCCCTCGCAACGCCAGTGTCTAATACTCTGACACCCAGTATCCGTCTGCTCATATGTGCGCACTTAACAACCAAATTATGATGCGCTACTTCGAGCGGCTGTGGGGGTGTGGAGAGACTAAGCAGCGGGTTGTCGGCCTGTAGGTGCGTGAGGATATGGGTCACGTTCGGTAGCGTATGGAGCTGCAGCATGAGGGTGGTAAAGTGGGAGGGTGTGATGGCTGGGTTCAGCGCGAGGAGGAGATCTGGGTTGTCGAAGATGAGGAGCGTCTTTCGAGCGGTAGACGTAGCGAGTGGGGAAATGGCGCTGGAGATGGAAGACTTGATGGCCGCGATCTCGAGGCTCTTGAGTATATAATGACCTGGCGTGCTTTGGGTTGCACTTGCTGGGCCGTTCGCGGTACTCGTAGCTGGTGGTGAAGTTGGTGACGCCGCGGGAGCTGCTGGAGGAGGCCCTCTCGCAGGTACTATCCGTCCAGGTGGTCCTCGCGCAGGCAATATCTGTGGCCCTCTTATCGCATTCAACACTGGAACCCGTGATATCGCATGCGCATCAACCCCCAACGATCCCTCCACCGCACCATCCATCGCATCCCCCCCAGCACCCAGCCCATCCACAAAAGCAAACCGTCCCTCCCTCCTCATCTTGTCCAAATCAAGCGCCGCGCCCTTCCGCGCCTCCTGCCTCCAGAAGTCGTATTCCCTCATCCAAGAGACGAGGACAACGTTGTGCCCCTCGTCATCCCCGCCATCTTGTGTGCTCAGCTCATGGCAGAGGAAGCGGATGAGCAGCCAGTTTGCGCTCGCGCCGAGGGTGCTCGTGAGCAGGAGGATCGAGTCGTTCGGTGGTAGTTGGACGTAGGGTTGGAGGAGCGCGGGGATACGCGTCGAGGGTGGCATTGTGACGCGGGTGCCGAGTGGAAATTAGGAGTTGCGCGTGGTGTGCTGCTTATCGATACCAGCTATCGCCGTCATAGCTTGTTCTTCTGGCAAGGAGAGATCACCACCAATGTCAAGAAGCCTGTTTGAGTTTTCTATTTTCTACGTTTTTTTGTGATTTTCTCTACTTCCATAGCGAACAACCCCGCATGCCCTTCCCTTCAGACATAACACGAACCCCATAAACCAGTCAGTCCATCGTAAGGCCGCCAGTCAGAAACACCCACCAAACTTTTCTGCACCTGTGGCCCACGTCGTATCCTCCTCGGTCCGCCGTCAAAGTTGGTTTGCCATCAAAACTACCATTGTAGTCCTCAAACACAGTTCTTCCTGAAAGCTTCCTCTTCGTACTCCTTATCATCCTCACGCCTCCTCCATCGCCACTCTGCCCTTCCTCACAGACTGAAGTCCAGGTCCAGCAACTCCCCGTAACGCGTGATACCCGCTTCGGTCTCAACAACACCAATCTCTGTATCGACTTCTGCCAGCATGGAAGATGCCGGGTGCTTCTTGGATCGGGTTGGGATGTTTTGCTGGACGTCTAGCTGTCGAGTGGTCGCACCGCCAGTCGCAATCTTACCCAGTTCGTTTGGGAAGAGCCATGGGAATGAAATCAAGGGCATGTGCTCCGGTTCCATCGGTCGCACCGGAACATCCCTACCACCCACTGTCTTCTTCGTACGGCATTCGACCAATGCAGTCTCCATCTCTTTCGCAGTCACCATATACATCGCGGCGACAAATTTCTCCAGGTTGTCTTCTGCAGCAGCTCGGCATTCATCCCGGTATTGGGACTTGAAGGCACCGATAGTCCTTCCAAATTCTTCTGCGAACTTGTAATCTCGGCTCTGGAAGGGTGCGAAGTCAGTATGTGTCATGGATCTCGAACAGTCAGTACTTACTTCATGGTTATGTACTATGACAAATACAGACCAGGCCTCGAACTCTGTCTGGATGCCATGCTTGGCCATCAGGCGCCGCAATGACTCATCGTAGGAAGTCTTGATTTCCGCAGCTTTCGCCAAAACTTCGTCGCCGAGCCCAAAGGCATCCAGGACTCGCTTGTCGAATGGGTTTTCCCACTGAGGCTACAAAGATGAAGATACGAAGTCAGCGTATGTCTCACATGCATTTCGTACTGTCGCGGCTTACCTTAAAGTCGACCAGCTGTACTTGGTCGTAAAGGATGCCGAGGACCTTTCTCGAATGATAGATCTTAGATTCTGGGAGGTGCTTCTTCTCCATGAAATGCGGCCACATATGTGGTCTCAATTCGCGCGTCATCTCGGCTGGCAAACCGCTCTTCGGGAAGTCGACGGCTTTGGAATGTAACTCCGCTAGAGCAAGGCACTTGTCGTCGTTGACCCCATCGGCCTGGAGGTCTGCGTTTGCCAGATGGGCGTGCGCAATCTGGCCAAGGGTATCGTTCTTCATATAACTGACGAAGAACTCGCCAATATGCGCGGCAGTAATTGGGTCGTCGGTCTCAACCGGCTTTTCGGCTGTGAAGTCCATAGCAGGCATATTGACGGTCTGGGGTATCAGATCTGGATCCCACAGCACCATGTAGTCATCCCCGTCAAGGTCGCCGCCAGAGCACATGTTAGCGAGATCCCTATCCCCGTTCTGTGGCAGCACCACGACGTTTTTGAGATGATGTAATCCCGGTACATCTACCGCGCGAACGACTCGAAGGTCTCCCGGGTGAAGTGAGGGGTTTCGCGCCAGGACACACACTCCTTGGATAATTTTGTAGTGTCCTTTCCTGCTCGTATCATCGACTTGCAAGAAGATCTCGGGGAGAGTTGCCAGCTTCTCCTCATTCGTAGCATCAAGCTGGAGGTCGTTCATATGGCCTCGGAGTGTTGCTGTTTCGTCAACGCAACCAAGTACGAACGCGCCGTCATCGATGGCTATCCGAGCCTTCTCCTTGAGGTTCTTGATAGTGCAAGCCCTCCACAACTTGAGGAGTGACATGACGAACGGATCTTGAGACTTCATAAAGCCATCGAGGACCATTCCTGCGACGGTCAACGTGGTCTGGTTCATGTCAATGTGCTTTCGAAGCTTCTGCAAGGCAACGCTATCGTCTACCATTGCGGTCTCGTAGTCATTGATCATCTCTTGTTGCTTCTTGATTACCACAGAATCGGGCACGCCAAGGTATGACAAGACTACGATGATCTGACGGTTGAAGAAGGGTGTGGCAAGAGATGAGGACCGGATAATCTCCAGACCGGTGTAGGGTGCCACGAATTTCATCTGACTGGGCCTTATATGAACCTCAGGACCAGTAATCTTTGGATCCGGGGCAAGTACACCCTTGCAGCCGCCAAGGCGAAACTGGAATAAAGACGGGGGGTCATCGAAGGCGCGGGCAAGCCCGAGTTCTTGGGCAGCCATCTGGGCTAGGAACTGTGAGATCTTACCGACACCGTCTGTGAAAGTATAGTTGTTACGTATAATGTCGGGAATCGTTATAACCTTAACGTTATCCCGCATTGCGCGAGTGGTTGAGAAGCATTGACCGAGACGAGCACCGAATTTGGCGACGGTCTTGATGTGATCGAAGTTGCCCAGGGAGATGCGGATGTCATCGGCGGACTTGGAAGAAGTAAGCGCGTAGAAGTATGCTCCGTGTTCGCGAAACTGTGAGTTTCCGAACGCTAGGAACTCATAGTATCTCCCAGCGACGACGATGCCATACTTCATGGCCCGACGTACCCTGTCAAACGCAGCTTCAGCCCTTCCGTTAGGCATATTGCGCAGTTGACCTTCTGTCTTCTCGTCAGAGAACTTGACTCGGATGAATCGATCGCCATCAGCAGCATGCTTGCGGATGATGCGATTGGAGGTCTCCATGTTTGGAGATGCTACATGCATCATGGTTGGGGTGATTACCACCGATCGCTGAAGGATGCAGTAGCTAGGGATTTTCTTCGCAAGGTCCTTAACCCGAATGCTGAATACGTCCATCGGATCGTAGTAGACGTGCTGTTTATCGACGACTTTCTCCAGGATGTAGGCGGCACGGCGAGGTTCCATCGCTGAGAGCTTCTCTAAGAAGTCGTTCGTGATGTTGTGTTCCTTCAAATAGCCGTTCGATAGACACGCCTCGAGTTGGTACCGGACGGGAAAGCTTAGATGAAACTGGCCAGCGAAGAGATCTTCGAAGACCGAGCCCTTTGAGGGTGTCGACTCAAGATGCGGATGTGTTCCAGATATCTCTTCTTGTAGCAGTGACCATAGAGGCGATGGGACCATGTCTTGGATCGTATAATCGTCCAGGTCCTCAATGGCGACGCCATGGTCGGCCAGAGCATCGCTGAAGTCCTTGAACTTGAGCCCAGTCATCACTGTCGCGTCGAAGATCATGCGATAAGTCGTCCAGCGTCCTAAGAAATCAGTTAGTTGAGCAATCTTCGATGAAGTTATGGGCAACGTACCAATGTCGATAATGGCGGTATCCTTGTGGTTCATCAACGGCAAGCCTTGGAACTTGCTCTTGACGGCGTTGTTGATGATATCGGTCGCCCGGTACCAAGTGTCCCAGGCATTCCACGACCTCTCTTTCCTAGAGAACGTACTGCATTGTCTCCCGTCCTCCAGATGCTGACCCTCACTTCGCTGCATGTAGAACTGCGGGGGTGAGCTGAACGGAATGATTAAAGTCGGCTGGCCAGTGACTTTGTCGGTGGTCTTGTATATACGGGAGAGCAGGGCAATCGGCAACGCAAAGCGAAACTTGCGCATCTCTTTATCGATATCTACCGAGAACTGAACGTCGAGCTCTTTGCGAACCAGGTTCAGCGTCATGTAGATACTGCCCGGTGAACGCAAGGTATGCATGGCAATCATGGTCTTGTCTGCTACGTTGACGCCGAAGTCGAGCCCATGTACAGGTAGGACGTTGATCTCGTAGTATGACTTGGCGGGATTGGCTGGGCTCGGTACGGTCTTGACTTGCGAAGGGAGTGTCTCAAGCCCTACGAGAGCACCGCCGATACGAAGGTTTTGATGAGGAATAGTCTTCACTGGGGGAGGTCTGTAAGAAAGGGTTAGAATGGACATCTATCGACGGAAGTAATACTCACCGAAACACCACGTAAGCGGAGTAGTCTCGGGTGCCAGTGACCATCTCGATCCTGATGACAGAGCCAAACGACGCCATTACTTGATACACCTCTTTCGTCCAGCAGCTCTTGGGTATGCCCGATAGTCTGAGCTTCAGTTCCTGGTAATGGGCCCAATGCTGAGTCTGATTCCTCAAGATTGACCTCTGTGGACTACGCTGACCAGCTGAGTTGAAGCGCGGGCGATTACCTCCATATCGAGGAGACGCTTGAGTGGCCTGTCGTGGTGGGCTTATGATCGGTGACCTTGCCGGAGATGGTGTCGGGGTGGTACTAGCTCTCGCGATGTAGGTCTCGTTGATGCTGTTCCCGTTCAAGTCGAAAGAAGAAAGTTGTTTGACTGGAGTAACGGGTGAGTCCACACGGGCTGGGGTTCGCTCCATATCTTCCATGCGAGTGTGTGGAGCCTGAGAGGACTGAGATGCCGAGGCGGGCTTGAGAGTTGGTCGGTTGGGGTTGTACTGGCCGTTAGAGCTACCCGAACTGCCAGAGTATGTGCGGTTGCCACTTCTACCACCACGATATCCGCCACGACCACCGCGTTGATTACCGCGATACATGTTGCCGCTGCCGAAGGATTTCTCACTATTGGAGCTGGTCTCTGATTTCTGTTCGCTGTGTTGAACTGGTTCTCGGTTCAGTGTGTAGGATTGGGATGATGTGGGGGTGCTGGTGTTGAAATCAGGAGTAGTCGAGCCCATTGGATCTGGGTCAAGAAGGTAGCGGTCCATGTTTGTTTGTGAACGTACTTGCCCTAACGCCAATCCTCGGGGAATGACGATTGGGTGGCGGTGGTGGCGCGGGGACGGCTGGCTAATTGGAGGTGACCGCTGCTTCAGGAAAGGGCAATGTAGCGGTGCCGAAGCGGCTGACCAGAGGCTCTGCTTGGATGTGCTGGCCGTACCTATGTGGGTTGATTGGAGTAGGAGGATGGAGGATGGAGAATTTTGTTTGCTCGATTTGGGCAATCGGATGGCCGTTTGCCTAAAGGCGCTCTGGATTCGGCAGGAGCGAGTCGCGACACGCGTGCCCGATGTTTTGTGTGATGACGTCGGGCTGATAATCTGGCAGCTAGACCGCGAAGCCGTCGAGAATAAGTTCTAAGAGAACGAGGTAGGTGTGGCAGTCTGTATGTGAAGGTAGGTAGATGGAAAGTGGAGAAGGACCAATCGTGTGAGGAAATCGCGGGGTCTGCTCTTACTCGAATGCGTGCATGTGCTGAGATGGGAAGGTGCAAGAATAGGGCAGTGTGAGAAGATGGGAATTAATGGCTGATGTGACGACGATCGACTAAGAGACGCTTGAGAGATGCAGGTAGCCGTAAGGTACTAAGAGCAAAGAAGACGTCAAGTAGGGAGATTGAGAGGACACCTAAGTCTAGGAAATAGAACAACGCTAGCGGTACGGTAAGACCAACAGCAGGTAAAGGTAGATTTGCGACATCAAGTAAGGATATGCCACTGGGTATCTCCAAAATCATCAAATGCCCCCTGCGCCATGCATGCAAGTACCCGTGCCAAATGCGCAAAGCCTTCGTACGCCGGGTATGAAACAAACAACAGTTACCCTACCCTCCCCAAGATGCCATCGTAAATCATACTTTCGTACTCACAACTCAGTCATAGTCTCGTCGCCTTCGTCCGGAATCCGGCCAGTACCAGACATAAAGCCCGGGGTAAGTGGTGTGCCAGTCGTGAAGTCATCGTCGATGTCAAAATCGACTTGCTCAATGTCTTGAAGGCTGCCTCTACGTTTCCTCACTGACTCAATCTCAGTTGCAGCGTCTTCTTCCTCGGCACCTGGCAATGTGAACCCGACAGTCGTGTGGCGGCGGTTCGGCGAGACTGGTCTCAGAGCTGAACGCTTAGTCGGCGACAGCTGATGTGAGTGAGAGAGTGACTTGGACACGATGTTAGGCTTCTGGTTATTTGGCGTTTGCATCGTTGGCACCTTGAAAGCTGGTCTTTGCTTCGCACGTTTTGGTGCTGGCCCGTTACCCTGGGACGAATTCGAATCGGCTGATGAGGCAAAGGACGCATTTGTAGAGTTTCCCAGAGCTCTGCTAGGTAATGCTTGGACATTTACCGTGGCGACTGATTCATCTTCTTGGGTGTTGATGGCTGACTTACGTCGTCGGTGGGTTCGCGGCTCTCTTGTCGTTTGGGGCTGAGCAATCTCCTTGTAGGTTCGTGAGGCTGGCTTAGCAGGCAACAGATGCATCGCCATCATCTTGCGAGCCGTCCTAAATTCTTCAAGTTCTTCTTCTTGCTCTGTGCAGAACTCCTCAAGCTCTTGGATCCTCGCTTCTAGTGGTGGTATTGATGCTTGAAGATTCTGGAGTTTGTTGCGCGTCTTCCCGTGGTCATGTCGTTCCTCTTGAGCGTTGCGCTGAGCATCTAGCAGCCGCGCTTCGAGCGTCTCGCATCGCTCTTCAGCCCTCGTGGTGATAGCCTCTAGTTCGTTAGCCTGCTTCACCGCGAGCTCTCTCATTGTTTCAGCCGATGACTCTTTGAACTCCTGGTAACTGGTCCGCGCGATATGAAGCTGTCGAATGGCATCCTCTAGTTCCGCTTCCTTCTCTTCCAGATCGTGCTGGTATTCTGACGCTTGCGTCTCGAGTTGTGCGATCTCTTCGGCTTGACGGGCAGTATTCGCTCGCTCCCGTTCAAGCGTGTCTTCTGCTTCGCGGCTACGTTTCTGGTACTCCTCAAACTGTGTGGTGAGGCTGCGATAGTCGGTCTCGTGCTGCATTTGAAATGCTTGCAGCTGGCTAATGGTACCATGCAGCTCCTCAATCTGTTCATCGCGGACGCGCTTGTCCTCCTCGTACTGGCGTATCGTCGAGCAGAGTTCATGCTCCTTTGCGCTAGAGTTTTCGTGGGCGGCCTTGAGCGCCTCGGTCGCGTTCCGCTCTGAAGTTTCTAGAGAGGTCTCTACTTCCTGTATCCTGGAGTGCATCCGGCCCTTCTCTTCTAACAAGTCGGACTTCTCTTGCTCCAGACGCTTTTGCTCGTCTAGGGAGTCCTGCAACTCCTTCTCCAACCCCTCCACGTATTCCACAGATTCTTCTCTATCCTTATGTAGAAAATCGTTTTGCTCGGTGAGATGGGCGATCTTTTCGCTTAGATGATTGACCTGTTCCTGGAGTTTGGCGGACTTCTCTGTCTCCATCCTTAGCGGCTCCTCGACTGTATTGCAACGTGTCTCGAGATCACTGCATATTTTTGACATAGAGCGCACAACGGCATCTCGTTGATGTTTGTTCTGGCTTTCTAGCTCCAAATCGAGACGTTTGCGCCAATCCTGGAGATGCTGGCCCGTGTACTGTGTGCTCGCTTCTTGGAAGAGGGAGATTGAAGGCTGAGTGGGGCTTCTCGACGAGTGTGAGCAAGCATCTAACGCGGGTGGAAGGTCTCGCTGTTTCTTGATAAGCGCAGCCACAAGAGTGTGCGGTATCGTCGACTCTCCCGGTTGCGCCGTAAGAATAATGGTGAGTAATGAAGCGATCGTGGCAGCGATCAGTTGCCGACGGAGTGATGCAGCATGTGCGCAGCAGCCGGGGCCTTCTCTCGTCGCACCAGCACGAATGAGATTCTGGATTTTGTCTTGCAAGGTCCTCGATGACAGTGCGCGCTGCACCGTGGTTCGTAAAGCAGCAGTCGTCATCGCAGCTGTGGCCAGCTCATCGATCGTGTCGATGGAGTTGGAAGCTTCGCGGGAGTCAGGCTGCGAAGCACATGCTGAGAAGATGCCTGATAAGAGTGCCACGACGGTGTTCTCCTGCATTTGCCCCTATCGCTGGTTAGTCAATCAGCCAGTACTACAAGATGAATCGCTTACTGCGTAGATTGGCAATGAGACTGCAAACAGCTCGGCGAAGCCTTCAGGCTCTGCCACGCGAGGGGCTTCCAATATGCATGACTCGTAGCGTGCGACGATACCTTGCGGCAAGCTTTGAGAACTTGAAAGTATGCCAAAGAATGACAGGGCCTCTAACTGGACAGATAGACTGGCATTGGAGTTTTGGATCTTGGATGCGCACTTTTCGTACAGCATGGCATACTTCTTCTGAACTTGAGGCCAGTTAACTTTCACGTCTTGGCCGATAAATTGCATAGCCCTCGAGGCAATACGTAGTCCTTCGATTGCTTCATTTTCTTGAATTCCGCCTCGAAGAATCCACACTACGTTCAAACAAGTAAGCTCAATAGTCTTGTATAAGTAGTTTGTCGAGCCGAACAGCTTTTGGCCTGAAGGTGTTGCCCAGTGTTGTCTTAGCCTTTCCGTGGATGTCGGCTCCTCGTTATCAGGCGGATTTTGCGGTCCTTCGACTCCCTCGGGATGTTCGGTGATGAGCACTATGCCTTCTGCCCATAGGAACAGTAAAGAGGAATCGGCGACTTTGGGGGACCTAAGTATATTGCACAACTCTGTGTCGAACCGCTGCCGCAGGTCTCTTGGAAGAAGGCTATAAAGTCGGCGACATGCACCGTTAAGCATGCGATACACCGATTTCAGAGTCTCGTAGTTAGGTTGTTGTGTGGCGTTTTCAAAGACGTTGAGAAAGAAGTTTTGTGCTACGGCGGGCAATGGTATCGCCTCGGGCAGTGGCCGAGAAAGAAGAAGTACGCATAGCTCGGCAAGCTAGATCATTGTTAGTAAGTGATATACCTCAAAAGTGCTCGTACTCACATTTCCGAAGTCGGTCTTTGATGAATTTGCCCTCTTCAGCAGAGAAGGGAGTAAGGACGGTTCCAGTACCAGTAGCTCATCTCGAAATTCTGGCGCATGACCTGGAAACACGTAGTCAGTTTGATTGCGTTCTTACCATGAAGCGGAGACCGGTCAACTGCTTACACAAGAGGTGCAGCACACGTAGCGTGTATGCATTTAGAGACAGTGCATCGTGGACGATTCTGCCTAGTTTCCTCACCGCGCAAGGTGACCGGTCTTGGACGCATGATCGGATAGTCGGTACGTCGACGCGCGCCAGAAGATCGGACAGGTTCTGTGAGATCTCGCGTCAGCTCATCTCATCAACGAGGGGATGCTTATGCAGCGAGTCATGTGCTCAAATACGGGAGTCGGCTAGTGGCACGACATGAGGATGCACTGGGGGTTGGGGAAGATGAGGGGCAAATACGTACGGATAGCGAAGGGGGGTATGGACACTCGATGATCCTTGTCAGTTCCGACGTCAACTCTGCGCTGATATCCGCCATGGCTGCTGGATCGAGTTGTGTTCGGAGTTGGGCCGAAAGATCGTTATGCGTGGAAATGTGACGCGAGCGTGTTTGCTGTCGCGTTCCTCTGGCGACGGCCGAAGAGACGCGCCGGGATCGCCGACTTCCCCATTGGCATCAATGCACGCATCCTGCGCCAACATCTCACACTCCACTCCCTGCTCCTGCTCGCACTCCACATGTTTGCCTGTTGACGTCAGCCATCTATAGATCGTACAGCTGCTGGGCGCAACATTGCTAGCCTGCAGGCATTGCGGGGCTCTTTCTATTCTCCGCTTACACGTTACCTCCCATTGGTGGTAATACCTAGGTAGACTCTACGCGTCTTTGCTTTTGGCAGTTCCTTTGCAGTCTCGAGCTTAATGGCGTTCTAGGACATTGCTCATGGGGACCGTATACGGTATCCCGCTTCTGTACTATATGGGAGCAGTTGTCTGCCTGGAACTGTAGCCGTTACC